TAAAAAAAAAAAAAAAAAAAAAAAAAGAAAACACATCGAGCAGGAGGTCATCAGCCCCACAGGGACAAGAGACATAAAGGAAGTACGAAGAACTGATGCAGGCCTCCTGAGAAAGAAGTCCTTCTCAGGAGCTAGAAGCCACCCTAAGCTGTCACTGAGCCTTGGGAACGTCAACCACAGCACACAAAGGCTGGTGTGCCTTCTCTGCCAAAGAAAACATGCAAGCATTTCCTTTGGTGACGTGGGACTGTGCACATGTACACCCACATATACACATCCCACATATACACATACACATACCCAACTCCCAGTACCTGTGGTTTTAGGAGGCTCCTGAGGTCCGCCCTGCCAGCCATACTGTGGGTATCCTTGGTAGGGGTACCCCTGAGGAGGTGGGTAGGGTCCCCCCATAGGTCCTGGAGGGTAGCCCTCTGGTCGCATTGGTTGTTGTGGATAAGGTGGGTACGGGGCCGTTGGACCAGGGCCCGGATACGGTGGAGGGTTCCCTGGGTTCATCAGGGACCTGCAGAATGTACCTAAAAGACAAACAACAAATATCATTCTCATCTAATCTGTGGAAATCATTAGGAAAAAAGCTTCAACCCAAGAGTTAATTTACAAAATCCCTTAATGGGATCTCAAACCTCTTGTAAATCTTCAGTTTGACCCATTGTTTCTTTCTTACCATTCCCACAATTGACAAATATTTTATGTACCTGGTTATATGCCTTCTGCCTGCCTTCCTCACTAGACACAAGGCTGTGACAGCAGTGATCAGGTCACCTTTAGATCATCCCCATGACCCTGGAGTTAGCAGAATGCCTAATACAAGAACAGGATTTTTTTTTTCAATTCTCTGAAGTGTCCACACGTGGCTGCATAGCTCTAAGGAAGAAGGCAGAAAGTCTAACAAGCCCTAATCCTGGGTCAGACCAGTGGAGGCGGAACGAGCACTAGAAATCCTCCAAAATAAACAGGGTTGGGCCACCCTGGCTCTTCTCACAAGGAGAACTGTGGCAGTGACCCACCAAAGACCCACGGCTCTCAGCAGCTGAGCTGTGTGCCCAGGCCTCGGTGGACTCAGGGCAGAGCTCTCTACACAGGATGCCGAGCATTTCCTCAACCATCAAGGCTCCCAGGACTCTGGTGGGCTCACCAGGAACCCCCACATTTGTGTGTACAGGTTCCTATAGGTTTGCTTCTGTGAAAGAGGCCATTGCTTCCCAACCCCCAAAGACTTGTTAACCATTCTCTTCACTGGGCTTCATGTCTGGTGGGCCAGCATCTCCTGCCCATCATCTCTGCAACCCTTGCAGTGCCTGACATTCGAAGCACTTCAGACTGAAAGCATCACTGGAGAATGCAAAGTACATATTCTGGATGAATGTGCTATCTGTCCTCTTACTGCCCTGCACTGTTACCCACCTGCAATATTGATATTTAACTTTTCACCTATTCAGAGGTCTTCTATCCCCAATTAAACAGTAAGTTAATAGAAGGAAGACTCCCACACTCAGAATTTAATAATTTCACTATTAATTCTTCATAACGTGCAATCAATAAATTTGTAAAGGACTCTACATGTATGCAAAGAACAAAATAACTATCAAGGTTCTCTAGAAAAACTGGATTAAATTAACAGTGGACTTTGCAGGGTGCCCACACAATCACATCCCCCTACATAATAGTGGTCAGATTTCCAGTCAGGTATCCGTCCATTCTTGCTTCCTTACCAGCTCCAGGGTGAGCCCAGGGTTACTAAGCCAATCCAGGTCACACTTTCCCCGTTTTCATTGAGACTGGTTCAAGGAATCCAGAACTAAGTCAATCACACATGGCATCCCTCGGCCACTGGGATCGGTTCTGAAGTGGTTTGAAAATTAAAGGCTTGGGGCTCTCCTAACATATTCCCAACCTCCCTTTTTCCCTAACTCAGGCACACACTAAGTCTGGCAAGGATATGATCTACAGAATTGCTGACAGCCAATCCGCAGCCCTGAGGAAGCTAGCCCTAAGATGAAGCAGGCACTTCAGAAAAGCAGAGCAGGAAAAAAAAAAAAAAAAAAAAAAAGGAATCCAGAGGACTTTATAACAGTTTATAAATAAACTAGGCTGAAACCTACCCTAACCTTTTATACCTCCAAAGAACTCCTAGTTCTAGGAACCGATAGTAGAGTAGGCTAATGAACTCCTCTGAGTGACATTCAAGCAAGCATACAGTTGTACAGTTCTGACTGCCCGGCACTGTGCTGAGTAGTGGGGTACAGAAATAAATAAGACTCAAACCTATGCCTGGGGCAACAGGTTAAAAAGAAAAACATTAAGGATAGTGATTTTTAGAAAAAGTGGTTAACGGACAGCTAGACAGGAGTAGGGGCTTAAACCCAGCAGGATGAGGTGAGAGGGTCACCTGAAGGAAGTGATTATAAATTCAAACTTCATAATATGGAATCAGAATGGCTCGAGGGTCTCTACTTTGACATCTGCATTCCGTCCCTCATTTTAGAGACTCTTATTTTTCCAGGGGCCTAACAGGGATTCAGAAAAAAGCTAGAGTTCTTTACCTTCTCTGCTCACTGCCAACATGGCATCACACTCTGACCTGGGAATGGCTGTCGCCTTATCCTAATGTAAAGGCTCATGGTGACGACCACTGCAATAATCATATGAATTTGGGCACATGTAAGTGCAGACTGCTTCTGCATTTCCTCTTCCTACCAAGGCGGCTGTGGAAAACCTAATGAGCGCTGGTTCGCAATAAAACTCTGTCTCATTGACCCTTTCCCCCAAAGGCCATTCCATTATTTACTTTTTAAGTCACAGAAGAAGAACAGTCATCATAACGATGCTTTCCAAAAATTCAGCGTATGGGAAGTGGGGGCTCCTCTGAACCAACCTAATTCCATCAAAACAGTATTTTATCTTGATTAGTCCAACAAGACCTGTAGTAATAGTCATTCTCACTCAAGCAAAGTCTGGACCAAACTCTGCAGACATTGTTCTGAGAACAGTGACCCACGAGAAGGAAAAAAAGAACAAAGCATTTATAAAACGATTACAGCTTTAGACCTCAACGTTTCATGACTCATCTTGATCTTTCTACTTGCATCTATCCCCATTATCTTCATGCTGTTCTCTTCCTGGAACCCTCACAAATGTATATGTCCTCTCTCCTCCCTCTGTCCTGTTTCTCCCTCATTTCTGGTATGTACCTTTCTCCTTCTACCTGAGCAATCACTTCATGTCTAGGGGGGAAATCCTAAGAGGCATTCAAAGAGCATACACCACGCAGGCGCTCCAGCTACCATGCCCCCTCCTTCTGTCCCTGTGCCCTGAAGACACACAGTCATCTTAAAGGGATAAAAATCTGGATCTATCTTCATTTTCCTCTAAGTTAAAAAAAAATTCCAGTAAGAGAAGAGGGAAAGCCACAGAAACAGCATCTGTGCGGAGATCAAAGATCCTGGGGTTGGCATTTGAAAAGCACAACTTTGCCTAGTGGGAATCAATTGGGAATCCCCAGTTTGTACAGAAGCCAACTAAAGTAAAAAAAAAAAAAAAGAAAGAAAAAAAAAATTACCTAACACTGACACAGTCTAGTAGAAACCACTTAATATAAATCAAAACACAAATGAGCTTTCAATTTAAGGTACAATGCTGAACTCTGCACCATGAACATCTTCCCTTTACATATTTGGTCAGGTGAAATGAAAGCCCTATTATACCACAGTGTGTTACACCAAGGGTCAAATGTAAACTGGAAATTGTACTATTAAAGACAAGTTAGGGCCTCAAATGAGCTCAAATCAAGCAGCAGCCAAGATCCATTAATAGACTGCACTGAATACTGCTCTGTGGCGATCCCATTCATGACATGCTCCAAGTCCCATGATTAGCATTCAGCTATACAATGAGAGCAGGAACTATACTTTCAGAAAGAGGTCCTATGAATTAAGACCTCAAACAAAGTAGATACATGGGAAAGAACAGTATTTTTCAAAGTTGTTATTATTATTCTTTTAATTATAAGATGCTAGGTAGCCTGGCATTGACCCTGAAGAGAATACAGTAAAGAATTTTCCTCTGGAAAAACTAACAGCCCCAATGGAAAAAATATTACTGCTATCAGTATTTGAGGAGACTCCAAGAAATGACTCACCCAGTCACCCTGCAGCAAAGCCCATGGACACAAAACTTCTAACTGGCTTTTTACTGTCTTATACACAAATGGACAAAAACTATCAGACATTTGAGGAAAGCCTACAACATAAAAAGAGCAAAACATAAGAGAAAGAGAAAAGTTAAATTAAATAAAAGACTTAAGTGAACTATGGTACTATAAATATAATTTATAAATACACTATAGATACTGTGTTATCTAGTTCTTTTGCGTGTTTTTGAAGCATGACATAGTATTAAGTGTAAAAACTTTTTAAAGCTATGTATTCAGCGTGATCCCATTTTCTTTAAAACAAATAATCATAAATAGGTTAATGTACAGAATGAAAAGGGCTACAACAGACCCATACAGTAGTCACCTGATTGTACAGAAAGGCATCACTGCAATTCAAAATGTAAAAATTAGTCTTTCCAATAAAAAGTGCTAACTATTCTTATGGAGAGAAAAAAAAAGAACCTTGATCCCCATCCTTATAAACAAAAAATAATTCACACTGTATCACTGGCCTATATAAAAATGCTACAACAATCAAGCTCTTACAAGTATGTAACCTATTTATGTCTTTGGCAGTATTTACCTTATGACCCAGTAACTCTGCTCTCAGATGTAGATTAAAGTGAAGTGAGTCTGTAAGAACATTCAAAGCAGTTTTATTTATAATAGCCCCAACAGTGGGAACTGTCCAAATGTTCATCAACAGAACAGATAGCCTGTGGTATATACAACAGAAAACTGTCCAGAAAAACAAACAAACAAAAAAAACAATTACTACATGCAACAGTGTGGATGAATCTCACAGATGATGATGAGTAAAAGGAGCCAGATTCAACAGACTTCACACTGTAGGATTCCATGTATATGAGGTTTGAGAACAGCCAAAAGGAATCTATGGATATTGACTGGAAGAGGCACAAAGGGAGCCTTCTGGAATGACAGAAATGTTCTACATCTTGGGCTGAGTCATGTTTACATGAATACTACAAAAACCCATTGGGTTGTACATTAAAATTCTCACACTTTAAGTTGTATAGTAACAGCAGACAGACAAAATTTGGCTAAAAGGAAAAAAAACCCATTTATAGTGGTTTTCCCTGGGCGCTTGAATAACGGACAATTGTTACTTATATTCTTTTGTATTTCTGAAAGTTTCAATAAGCGAACTTACATAGCTGGGGGATAAAAAGCTTTTCTTAGTGCTTTCTGATATTTTCATGCTG